AGAGAAAATTAAAGATACAGTAAACAGTAGGAAAATAATAATAAAAATAAAACCAGAAATTAATGAAATAGAGAATAGGAAACAAAAAATAATTGAAGCCAAAAGCAGATTCACTGAAATTAGTATGTGTGTAAACCTACATCTAGAATAATCAGGATAAAAAAGAGAGTAGAACAAATAACCAGTTATGAGGTTATCAAGATGAGAGAAGTGAGAATACTACAGAAAACATGCAAATTGAAGCATAACAAAGGGATATTATGAATGACTTAATGCTAGTAAATATCATTTAAAAGAAATGGACAAATTCCTGGAATTGCATAAATCATCTAAGCTCACTAAAGAAAATTACCTGAATAGCCCTATTTCTGTGAAAAATATTATTGAATTTGTACTTAAATGTGAACTGAAGAAAAATCATGACACAGATGGTTTCACGGGAATTTTTCCAGACATTTAAGTAAGAAATAATAAACATTATATAAAAGTTATATTAGAAAACAGAAGAGGAAGGAATACTTCACTACTCATTCTATGAGACTAGTAATGCCCTGACCCCTAAAAAGTCAAGAACAAGAAATTGATAGAACAATATTTCTCATAATCATGAATATAAAAAATTCTTAACAAATTATTGACACATTGATTTCAGCAATGCATAAAAAGGATAATGCAGTCATGCTTTGCCTAACCACAGGGGTATGTTCTAAGAAATACATCCCTAGTCAATTTTGTAGCACTGTTTACATCATAGAGTGTATTTACACAAACCAAGATAGTATAGCTTATTACACACCTAAACTATATGGTATGGTCTATTTCTCCTAGGCGGCAAACTTGTACAGCATGTTACTATACTGAATATTGGAAGCAATTGTAACATAATAGTAAATATCTGTGTATCTAAATATATCAAAACATAGAAAAGGTATAGTAAAAAATATGGTATAAAAGTTTTTCTTGCTAGGTGAGGGTGGCTCACACCCATAATCTCAGCACTTTGGGAGGCCGAGGCGGGCTAATCACAAGGAGTTCAAGACCAGCCTCACCAACATGGTGAAACACCGTCTCTACTAAAAATACAAAAATTAGCCGAGCATGGTGGTATGAACCTGTAGTCCCAGCTACTCAGGAGGCTGAGGCAGGAGAATCACTTGAACCCGAGAGGCAGAAGTTACAGTGAGCTGAGATTGCACCACTGCACTCCAACCTGGGTGACAAAGTGAGACTGTCTCAATAAATAAATAAATAAATAAATAAATAAATAAATAAATAAATAAATAAAGCAAGCTAATGCTATACACACACACACACACACACACACACATATATATATGACATTTACTGTTGTAAATGGAGCTTCCAGGACTAGAAGTTCTTCTGGGTGACTCAGTGAGTAAGTGGTGAGTGACTGTGAAGGCCTGGGACATTACTGTATAGTACCCTAGACTTTATAAACACCGTATACTTCGGCTACACTAAACATTTTCTTTCTGCAATAATAAAATTCACCTTAGCTTTTTTTACTTTATGTACTCTTAAAATGTTTAAACTCTTGACTCTTTTTTAATAACAGCTTAAAGTACAAACACATTGTATAGCTATACAAAATATTTTCTTTATTGTTTATTTCATAGGGATATATATTTTTTCTTGTTTAAGTTTTTAATCACTAATTTTTTTCCAATAAAGGAAGATACCCACATTAGCCTTGGCCGACTCAGGGTCAGGATTATCAACATCAATGTCTTCCACCTCCACATCTCATCCCACTACAAGGTTTTTTGGGGCAGTAACAGGCATGGAGTTGTCATCTCCTAGGATAGCAATGCTTTCTTATGGAATATTACCTAAAGAAACTGCCTGAGGCTGTTTTACAGTTAACTTTTCTCTTTTATAAGTAGAAGGAGTACACTCTAAAATAATGATTAAAAGTACACTATAGTAATATATAAACCAGTAACATAAGATAAAAGTTGAGATTATTAAAAAACAAACAAGCAAAAAAGAATTGGTGTTTCTGAAAGAGGAGGAAGATAACCAGAACTCTCTCTATGAGTTTGTACACAGAGGGAAGGCCACCCTGCAGGTACCTTGATCTTAAACACCTAGCCTCCACAATTGTGGGAAAAGAAATTCTTTTTTTTTTTTTTTTTTTTTATGGAGTCTCGCTCTGTTGCCAGGCTGGATTGCAATGGCATAAACTCGGCTCACTGCAACCTCTGCCTCCCTGGTTCAAGCGATTCTCCTGCTTCAGACTCCAGAGTAGCTGGGACTACAGGCGTGCACCACCACGCCCGGCTAATTTTTGTATTTTTAGTGCAGACGGGGTTTCACCATGTTGGCGGTGGCTCAAGCCTGTAATCCCAGCACTTTGGGAGGCAAAGGCGGTTGGATCACAAGGTCAAGAGATCAAGGAATTCCTGTTGTGTGAACTATCCAGTGGGTGGCATTTTGTTTTGGCAGCTCAAGCTGACTAGCACAACTGACTTCACTTATCTCGCTTGGAAATATTATCTCTATGAAACGGTCTGGACATTTCTCTCAGGGCTACTACCCTACATTTCCTGATACTTGTGGGAATTTTTTCTTTTCCACAAACATGACATGTCTACATGTCCAGATGAAAGGTCAGAATTTCCCTCTAACACAAATTTTACCTTTGTTAATGTTACAACCACACATTCTCATCCTCCCAGTATATATTTTATATCCAGAGACTAGAACAATTATTTAGGTTTTCAATAAATTATTATTTCATTCTATCGGAAGGATGAAATAATACCATATGAAGATATGGAGAAGAAAAAATATAGATTTAAATTACTCATTATATTATTCTCTGAATCTGATTTATACTCGTCTATATAATAATATTTCCAATTAAATAGGAGAAAACAATTTTGAAGAAATGCAAAACTTTAAGAAAAAAATCTCAGCAGAAAAGAAGTCTCGCTGAAAAACCAAGCCAGCTAAAACTTCTCATCTGCTGGAGAATCTTGGTGTTCTGGTGAGAAGTAATTGGTAAGCTGTTATTTGAAACGGCTGTGGTGTAGACAACTAAATATGACCACACTAAAAGCATCCAGTCTCACAATTACTATTTTGACTTGATGGTAAGTGTTCTAATATTGTCCTAAAGATGGGACTAATGAGGAACCTGCATAACTTAACATCAACATTAATAGGTGGGGAATCTGAAATTACTATCAAACTTGGAATCTCTGTGATCAAGTTATCTCAGAAGTAAAGGAGATTTTCTTCTTAAACCTGGAATCATATTTTTCAAGGGCATATGTTCTAACACTGTAACAATCACACACCCAGTTTCCATGTATTTCTCCCTCAGAAATGATGAAGTGCCCTTAAGTATGAATTCACAGGATAAAGATACATGCTCCCTTCTTGCTCTTGAATGCAGGAAGACTTCTAGCCCCTTTACACAGAACAGTTTACGTTTTATAGCATTCCTTAATAAATGGCTGAAAAATTGTTTCAAAACAAGGCTTATTCACCTGTACTTTCCAACCAGCTACTATTCCTACTATTGGTTTGTGGAATCGTCAATTACATTAGCTAAGATCGGCATAGGCTTGAAGTTTAGGATGTTTTTCCCATGACATACCAAAGTGGAACTATGAGTAACGCAAGCTCATTTTTGTTGTTCAATTTCCTACTCATACAATTTTTGTGCTTTACTTTCTTTAATCTGTTACATCAATGTTGTTCAAATAAGAAAAAATAAATCTGTTTGGAAATACAAAACCATAGGAAAAAAGATTGTAGAACAATATTTGTTCATTGGAATGAATGATTCAGTAGCTTTTCTGTGATATAATTAGGTCTGATAAAGACTTTTAAGGATCCACACGAGTAAACCAGCAGTCACTGGGACAGACGATGATTATCTGGGGTGAATATGTTAATATTCAAGGTGTAATCCTACTAAAAAATACCAACAGTTTGTCACAAGAAAATTATTGTCTGAAAGAACATCTAAACGCATAATATTTGAAGAAAACTCATGTATTGTTATATCCTCTATTAAAATGATAAGCAGTATAAACAACGGGTTGAAAGTTGAAGGTAATGTCAGTACATGCTCAAGCACAAAAGAATAAAAGTTAGTTTGGGATTTCAATTATTGCCCTTCAAAGAACTTTTAAAACAATAACCTCATCCTTAGTAAGGACACTTTTGTACATTTGATGTATATTTTACTAATCTTTTAAAATTATTTTTCACTATATGGTTTATGAAGTGATTCTGTGAATACTTGTACCTAATGCTTCTGTAGTAACCTGCATTACTAATGCATGTTTACAAGATGGTCCAGTTTTAAAGTTTATTGTCTCCAAGTTAGTAGTTTGAGACACAATCTAAAAGAATGGAATATTTAAAAATATTTTTGATCTTAATAAAAATCAAATAGTATTTTAAAATTCTAAAAAAATGTAAGTAAACTATCAAATTATAGATGTAGAATACAGAAGTTACTCATTTGATGAGCTGATTTTTAAAAATTACATATCAAATTCACGGAATTTTAACTCTATAAAATCAGCTTTTTTCTATAATACAATATTTTGTGTATAATGCAAATATACACAATTATAATAAAATATGATATTGTATACATATGACAGTGGTGTCAATATCACTAGAATATCTATTTCAAGATACATTGTAGGGATAATAAGATGTTTGACTAAGTCACAGGTGCTCCTGGTCCCATTTTTCCAAAAGTCTGCTTTTACAGGCAGAATAAGTATAATGGGTACAGCCTTTGACTCAGAATATTAGTGAGGGGTCACACTGTTGATCTCTTTAGCAGTTTAATCTAACCACTTTAAGCCCCAAAAATAGCACCAGGATTTTTTTTTTTTCAATGAAACTAAAATGCAATGGTTTGCTTTCTACCAAAATAATTAAGATCCCAAATACTGTTCCATAAGCCTGATAATGGACACAAGCCAGAGGGAAGGGGGTGCATAACCTACCTGAACCAGGAGATGGCAGGTTCTGGAGAGCCTGAGGCCCTGCAGGAAAACGTCATCTCTTCTCCTCTCTCTGCCGTGGCATTGAAAGATTTCTGAGGCATTGAGATTGCTGGCGGCACTGAAGGAGAGATGAATATAGAATCAATAGATAACATCTAACACTAACATCATTTAGATAATTTTTGCCACATTTTAAGCTTTCAAACATCATCCTTCACATCTCCATTTATATTAATGAAACTGATTTGGTTTCATAGTAAAATAACTTTATCACTGATCTTCATTCTAATGTGCAATAATTATATCAATTCATTGTAAAGCTTTTTCACTATTAAATCTATTAAATTAAACAATAAAGTATACATTCTAGCAAACATATATACTTTTAGGAATTATGTCTCAGAAAAAGACACCACCACCCTAACTTACATCAATTTGGGGATCTACTTTGAGCATAAGTGGATTTCCTATTTGGGTTCTCATTGGTCTGTGTAATGCCATAAGCAATCAATCACTGCTTCAAAACAGGGCTTTCAAATTAGGTGTCAAACCATAATGTTCTTTCTGATTAACTACACTTAATTTCTTCAAGCAACTATAGAACATTTTCTGAAGAGAAACTGCATAAGCCATACAGAAAATGGAAATAGATTTTCATGAACTATTCAATTTTAAAATTAAGCATCTTCAATTTCTAACTAATTACATTGGAAAAACTGTATATGCTGCACATTTGGAACATGTTGAAACTGTTACTGAAATGCACTGTTTGCAATAAACAAATCACTGGCATCCACAATAGAAGCTAAATTTCAAAGTAGAGCATAAATTGTGACTCAATGCATACTTTCATAATTTTAAGCTGAATATCATAAAGCAATATTCCTAAAATTAAGTATATTAATAATTTTTACATACACTAAGCAATATCAGACAGGCATTTAGAAGTGTGATTATACTCAAATATCTCTACAATTCAGGTCAGCGTTTATGCCGCATTACCTCCATTGATGGTAGAGACAAGAACTGGTATGTAACTTAGTAATTAAACACAATAGATCAAGCTTCTGCCTTTATGAATTTAGATACAAGAAACATAATCTGACATGTTGACTCTAAAGTAACATAATAATTACTAGTATTACAAAAGATAGAACTTTCTCAGATATTAACTCTGAATTTTAAGTACATTGTCATTTGACTATCTGTACCCTGTTTTTCTTCCTTTGTAATTATGGAAAATAACATTTTAAACAAAATGCATATTTTGCATATCATTATTTATACATTTAGTTGCAAGAGCAGTATTACTCTCTTTAGTACAGTTAAGTCTTTTCATCCCTTAGAGAATTATAATGAAATTAATTCTTTCAAGGATTTGTATTCTGTATGTGTTGAGTAGTCAACACTTCCTGGAAAGTTTCTATTTTATTCTTTAGCTGGAAGGAACACGGGGATGTATAGTGAAGTAGTTCTATTAACTCCCACTAACATGGACATATTAGTCTACCTTCAAGTTATAATTCCCCTGACTGGCTGCTTCGGCAACAGAGATACCACTAATTTGACAGACGGATTTACCTTTTATCAATAATGGCATTCAGCAACTTCCTATGTTTTCTGAGCCTTCCAAGTCTTCCCCCCAATCCTCAAATATTTCTCAGAAGATAAAGATGATATTACCCATGAAATGCCTATTCATGTCCCAGCTTGTTTGGTTCAGATTAATCAGCACCCACGAATTCCTTCAAATGTATTTGAGCCAAGGAAAGCTAACTCCACTCAAGCAGAGTCAGGAAGTATATTCATTTGTAATTCCAATTGTTTTAAATATAAAGCAACAAATAAATGCACACATAGATTTTTCATCTAGCAGAGGACTGCTCATCTTAAGACTCACAACCCTTTTTCTCTCTTTACTTGTTTTTACGTTTTCTTTTTTTGGATTCAGGGGGCACACGGGCAGGTTTGTTAACTGGGTATCTTGCATGATTCTGAGGTTTGGGGTAAAGGTGATTCTGTCATCCAGGTAGTGAGCATGGTACCCAATAGGTAGTTTTTCAGACCATCCCACCTCCCTCTTTCCCCTCTCTAGTAGTCCTCAGTGTCTATTGCTCCCATCTTTATGTCCATGAGTATTCAATGTGATAATATGAAGTATTTGATTTTCTCTTCCTGTGTTAATTTGCTTAGGATTATGGCCTACAGTTGCATTCATGTTGCAGCAAAGGACATGACTTCATGTTTTTTTTTTTCAGTGTAGTATTCCATGGTGTATATGTACTGCATTTTATTTATCCAGTCCACTGCTGATGGGTACCTAGGTTGACTCCATGTCCTTGCTATTGTGGATAGCACTGTGATAATCATACAAGTGCATGTGTCTCTTACAATTTATTTTCCTTTTGGTATTTACCCAACAATGGGACTGCTGACTCAAACAGCAGTTCTGCTTAAGTTCTCTGCAAAATCTCAAAATTACTTTCCACAATGGTTGAGCTATTTGCATTCCCATTAACAGTGTATAAGCATTCCCTTTTCTCTGAAGTCTTGACAGCATCTGTTATTTTTTGACTTTTTAAATAATAGTCATTCTGACTGGTGTGAGGTGGTATCTCATTGTGGTTTTGATTTACATTTTGCTGAGGATGAAAGTTGCACACCTATATCCATCGGAACTTTGACAAAGTTAACAAAATGTTGACTCCTTATTCAGTAAGTGGTGCTGGGATAACTGGCAAACCATATGCAAAAGAACCAACTGGACCACTACATTTCATCATACACAAAAATTGACTCAAGATGGATTAAAGGGTTAAATGTAAGGCCTCAAACTATAAAAAAAAGTATATAAAAACACATAGAACATACACTTCTTGACACTGGCTTTGGCAAAGAATTTATGGCTAAGTCCCCAAAAGCAATTGCAACAAATCCAAAAATTGACAAGTGAGACCTAATTAAACTAAACAGCTTCTGCACAGCAAAACAAATTATCAACAGAATGAACAGACAGCCTACAGAATGGGAGAAAATGTTTGCAATCTATACCTCTGATAAAGGTCGAATATCCAGAATCTATAAGGAACTTAAGTCAACCAGAAAAAAAAAATCCTATTAAAAATGGGAAAATGACATGAACAGACATTTCTCAAAAGAAAACATAAAAGCGACCAAGAAACATATGAAAAAATGCTCGTTATCACTAGTCATCAGAAAAATGGTTTTACATGTAGGGCTGTGTGTCCATTAGAAAGTCACAGAAGTGATCTTGATTCCTGGCCAAGAGAATAGATACAGCAGATTAACACCAAAGTATTTGATAGTTCTAACATTCGCTGTTTATATTCTCAGTCTGTATGAAAAGCTAATTAGGTTATTTCTTTGGGTCTTCCCATAATTTCATTAACACACTTCTTTCCACTGCACTTTATTATATGAAGTTAGAAAAGTGTAACACCTGGGAAACCACATTTGCAAAGCTGATTTTTATTACTCATGGATAGTAAGAAATTACATGTTTTCAGTTAATTTTAAGAACCTTCCTTTGATAACAAATCAAGCACCCTCATTTTACAATTTACATCTTTGACAATTTTTCAGATACTTAACTGCTTATAATATGAGGTAAAGAATGACTAGTATTTTAATATTATATAGCCTCTCAATATACAATAAGACATCTCAATTATGGAGAATGCGTTCATCATGATTTTGATCATGAAATTTTTACTTTCATATAGTCATATCAGGCATCAATGAAATCCATCTGTTTTCTTTTTAAAAAATTTGTATGTTTTGCTCTTCCCTACTGCTGCAAATGCTGTAGTACGATCTAACAGCTCTCAATTTTCATTAATATTGCTTCTGGTTAATTGTCATAATCCTTCATTCTGAATTTATGAGGGTGATCAATTTAAAGTGCTATTTAATGAGAATACTATTCTGGAACTTAAAATGCATACAAAATTTAAAAAATGCAAAGCATAAAATGATAGGCATAAAGAACAATAATTAATTTTATAATTTCATTTGGAAAAAAAAAAGTCTATCTTCCTGATTACTATAAACTAAATACATACATACAATTCTTTTTAAATAAATGTATCTGAGTGGTCTTCAATCTTGAGTGTCAACTGATTTGGTCTATCTGTCCTGTTACAAAATCTAGTCAATAGAGCATTTCTACACATATTTGACTAATAGCAAATTTTGGGCATTTTCTACATGGTTGTTCCTAATTTGTGAATAGAGTAAAGCAGTGACATAACTGCCATAATGTATTGAGTACTGACTTCTAAAATCAAACCTATCTGAACAACACAGTAAGGGCTTTATACAATACCATCATACTGTAGAAGAGTGAGGATCAAATTGCCTCATTAAGTTGGTTTACGAAAAATCAAAAAAAGGTTCCATTGACATTTAAAATTACATTCTTAGTGAAAGTTAATATAAGAGGAATCAGCAGTTTAATCAAATAAGTATTTCCTTCCTTCGACAGCAAGTATAAAAACAATGAAAAATTGTTAACTGAAGCTTTGTTGCATTTTCATAATTATGCTTTTCTGCATTTTCTAAGTATTTGCCAAAGGAACCTGATTATTATGTTCTTTTACATTGGCTTTTTACATAGATCATATGTACAAGATCAAAAATAAAATAAGAGGCAATTAAAATTATTGACTTTATCATTTTCCTGGTTAGTTATTATTGTTTCTTTTCTTTTCTTTTTTTTTTTTTTTGAGATGGGGTCTCACTCTGTCATATAGGCTGGAGTGCAGTGGTGTGATCTCAGCTCACTACAACCTCTGCCTCCTGGGTTCAAGTGATTCTCCTGCCTCAGCCTCCTGAGCAGCTGGGACTACAGGCCTGAGACATCATGACTAATTTTTGTATTTTTAATAGAGATGGGGTTTCACCATATTGGCCAGGCTGGTCTCAAACTCTTGACTTCGTGATCCACCCGCTTCAGCCTCCCAAAGTGCTGGGATTACAGGAGTGAGCCACTGCGCCCGGCCTTGGTTAGTTATTTTTATTAATTACAGTTGTTAACTGATATTCACAGAGGATTGATTCTAGGAAATTCATCCGATAGTTGTTATACTGTATTGTTCT